GGGGGAGCCCCCCCCCCCTAAAGGAAAAATCTCTAAAAAAAAAAAAAAAAAAAAAAAGAGTGTTTTGGGACCAGCAGATGGGGTAATAGCTATCTATGTTGCTGGACTCCCATGTAGTCAACTGTGGTTCGAGTCCTGGACCCGGTGGATTAAACGTGTGTGTGTGTGCCCAAGATCCCGAGAGGAGAATGGAGGAGGAGGGATTGCGGCGTGGCCATCCCCCCTGGGGGGTGATTTCTCACTTTCTGCCTCTCTGTCTCTGTCTGTCTGGCGAGCGCACGCGCCCTATAGCAAAAAACCTCTTCAAAAAAAGAAAAAAAAGTGTTTCCAATGGCCCAAGTGACCAACTAAACTTAGAGTCATATTTGCAAAAACATGTATAAGTACCTCTCTCTGCCAGGGCTGGCTTTTAGCTTTGAAGACAACACACATATTTTCCTTTGCTAACACAGTTTACTTGTGGCTTTTGTTTAGGGCACAGACACGAACCAGACCTGAGCCCGGGAAGACAGAGATCAGGGTGGTGGGTGGAAAGGGCCGCCCTTTCCCAGGCAAGTCTCTGGTGCTCTGGTGGGGCTGGTCTTGATGTTACCGCCATGACCCTGCAGCAGCCAGAGACAGAGGCTGGAAGGGAGGGGAGTTTCCCAGCTGCCTCATCTCACTGGACAAGGAACATCTGGACACACTGAGACTACTACGGGGGACGTCCCGATGCTTGTCAGTGCGAGAGGGAACTTTCCAGAGAGTCCATCTGACATGTAGGCTTCATGTTCCAGATGGAGGCTCAGTGGCCAGTCTTGGAGCTTCAGTGGGCGACTCCTGCCACCACCACGTGAAAACACGCCTATCACACAGATGAAGCAGTCGAGGCTCAGACAAGTGAAGTGACTTGTTCAGGGTCCTGTGGAAACTTTCTTCCTACCCCCACTCTATCCTCCATTATCTTCCTCTCCCTTCTCCATATTTCTCTCTCATCTTCCCACTCCCTCTTCCCTCCCCACGTAACTACTTCCTCCCTGCTCATCCCTCCCTTTACCCTCCCCTCCGCACCCCTCCTGTCCCATCATGCCCTCCTTCCCCCTCATCCCATGCTGCTTACATGGGGATTTGAACTCAGCTCTCAGCTCTGTGTATTCCATCCAGCCTTTTCACCATGGGCTGGAGGGGTCACCCTTGGGGGCTTCCTCCTCTTCATTCTTACAGCTGGACCAGCCAGCCCTAAGCAAGGTCCTTTTGGCTCTCATAGGTCTGAGAAGTTTGGAATTTCTGCTACTTTTCAGAGCCTGCCTGTGGCTGCAAGGTGCCAGAGCCAGAGTGGGATGCTCCGTTAGTTGATAAATCTAAAGCCTGCTTGAGAAAAAGTCAAAATAGTAAGACGTGGCAACATTTCTGAGCCTCACCGGGGGCCAGGGCTGTGAGGGGTGCTTCGGGTAAGCTGTTATCCCAATTAGTCTTTCCCCGCCATAACCGGCAGGCTCTTAGTGAGGAATGTTTCTGGCTGCAAGTAGGAGAAAATGTGACTCACAGGGTCTGAACCCAGATGTTGGATTATCTCATTAAACAACAAGCCCAGAGGTGGGTAGCTCCAGGGGTGGTTACCCTGCAGCTCTGGCTAGGGCTCTGCCAGTTCCCTGCACCCCTCCCCCCCAGTCATAGCCTCACACAACACCCACTCCCAGAGCAGAATGGAGGTGAATGAGAAGAGTTTCCAGAAGATTCCAGCAGATGTCTGGAAGCGCCACCTGTAGACATAGGACCAGCAGGGGGCATTCTCTGATTGGCGCAGATCAATGGTGGTTCATTCTCTGGGAAGGGGACCGGTCACCTTCCTAAACACCTCCTGGACTCCTGAACAGATCCGGCGCCAGTTCCATTAGCAAGGGAGAAAGCAGAGGTTCCAACACAGCCCTCGGTGGGGTGGGGTCCTGCCTCTGGATCACGGTGCAAAGAGGCGTCTGGGAGAGATTCAGATGGAGGTGATCCTGGCGTACACTGAAGCCGGGTGGACGGTAGAAGAGCTGACATTTAGCGAGCACCTATTGTTTGTAAGCCTGCAGAGGATGACTTCCCTCTCATCACTGACCTCAGTGCACACAGCAGCCCTGTGAGGAAGGAAGTGTTCTTTCCATTCGTGGGGGTGAGAAAACTGAGGCTTAGTCCTGATCACAGATACAGCGAGAAGCTGAACTGATAAAAGCACTAATTGCAATTAACTTTCACTGAGGCTCACTGAGTCAGGCACTGGGACAGGCGTGTCACCTGCATGAGCTCCTTTACGCCTCACCCCGACCCCGCCAGGACTTTTCCCTGCGCTGTGGAGGGAATCTTGGCTTAGAGATGTAGAGTAGATTGCCTGGGGTCACACAGCTGAGTATGGGCTGAGCCCCGCTGTGAACCCCATGGCCAGAAGGCAGCCCCGTGGAGCTCCCCAAATTTGGAGAAAATCCTCCAGGCCTATTCTGCAACCTTTTTGGGATTGTTGGCTTGGCTGAGGGATACGCTCGATAAATAAACAAGAGGTTCAGGAAACTCCTTTTGCCTCTTGCTATTCTGAGTCCGCGGGGAGGCCACAGCGTGGGTCATCCGGCTGTCTTGACAGCCAACATTAAGCAGGCAAATAAATGGATCTCTAATATGATAGCAGGACAAGTGAAGTCCCGCCAACAAAACAAAACAAAACAAAACAAGCTAAGGCAAGAGAGTGATGGAGTGACTGCTCTAGACCAGATGGTCAGGGAGGCCTTTTTCAAGGACATGACAGTTGAGCAAAACCAGAGGGACTGGGGACGTGATGGAAAGAGCGAGCGATGCAAGGCTCCCAGGGAGAACCGTCAGGCAGAGGGAATAGCAGGTGCAAAGGCCCTGAGGTAGGAGTGAGGTTGGCCCGTGTGGAGGAAGACAGCAAGGTCAGCCTGGCTGGAGCAGAGTGGAGGTTAGGAGGCCAGGGAGGCAAAGGCGGGATGGGGCAGATCCTGCACCTTGTAAGGACTTGGCTGGGCTCTGCAGGAAGGAAAAGATCCTGAGCAACATTCAGTGCGGATCTGACCTAGCTTAGCAGGATCCTCCTGAGGGGAGATAGGGAAGGAGCCAGACCAGGGAGGGGCACAGTTGCTTCAGAGCAGAGTCAGGACCGGAAGAACTGTGTTCACCAGCGCTGAGCGGGAAAGTTCAGGGCTGGGACAGATCTCCTGGGCCCAGCTGCATGCATAGCCAATTGCTTCATGAAACACGTGGGCCAGGCCAGCAGGTGGGTGGTGGTGAAGGCGCTGGACTCCCACATGGCCAACTGAGGTTCAAGTCCCAGACCTGGTGGCTTGCTTTCATTCACGCTCTTACTCATGTACCCTATAGCAAACAAAAAATAATAAAAAAATAAAATTAGATAAATAATTTTTTAAAAACCTCACGGTTTGCAGGTAATTACAATTCTGATCTTCCCATTTGCTGGTAAGGGACTGAGCTCAGAGAAGTGAAGTTACCTTGCTGAGGCCTCTCTGGGAGGACATGGGGGAAAAGAGATGTGGGTAGGGGGAATGGAGAGAACCCAGAGGGAGGCCCAGGCCTTCTAGCTGGGAGCCCAGTTCTCGGGGCACAGGGCTAGCACCTAGGCCAGGAAACGAGGCCTTAATGTGCTCCTGGCATAAGGCAGGTATTCAGCACTCACTGCCGGGTGCAGCAGCTGAGGACTTGGTGACCCAGAGTGGAGACCTGAGTCGCTCTTGTCGCCCAGGGCACTACCGCACTATCCAGGATAATACGAGATTCAGTGTCACCCAGCTTGACCCAACCAGCCTGGACGACAGAACGGGCAGCTGGAGGGGGGCGGCCCAGGCAGAAGAGTTCGGTTAGTTTGGAAGCACCCCTCCTGCCCTTCCCCGACCCCCCAGCAGTCCCGCCTCCTTTGCCCCCTCCCATTCCCACCCCCTTTCCTATACCCCAGCACCCTCCATCGCCCAATTCCTCCTGCTTTTCCTGCGTTACCCCTATCGCCCCTTCCCGCCCTCGGTGTAATCCCTGCCGTCAGGCACCCCCCTCCTCCTGCCCTCCCCTGCAGCCACCTTCCGTCCTGCCATCCGTCTCCGCTTCCCTCGGTCCCACATTGGCGATACAGACCAGAGTACCGGGCAGCAGGGTGCCCGGGAGCGACCTCGGAGGGATCCGCGAGCGACCTCGGAGGGATCCGCGAGCGACCTCGGAGGGATCTGCGAGCGACGTCGGAGGGGTCCG